TCATACATCTCTAAACTGATCTCTGACTCTTGACCACATATTCGAGATTATAATGTCTCTGGGGAAGCAGCAAGGCTCTGAAGGTAACCCAGATAGCAGATAGTTTTGGGCCAATTCCGGCTGTCCTATGTGAGTGTTGGTTGCCTACCGGGTAGATGCTAGGCATGTGGGCCATGCCTACATTTATGGGACAATTCTTGTGTGAACGTTGTGGACCAACAATGTAGTTGGGCCAGATCGGGGCCGTATTTGGGCCATATCCTTTCAGTTTTACTCACTTTACAATGTGTGGGCCAGATCTGGGCTGAGGACCCAGAACAAAACAAGGATGTAGCCCACAAGTGGGCCAGACAAATTTTGCTAACAGGAAAGGACCCACAGAATTGCTAGTGTTTGCCCATCTTGAGATTTCAAGCTTTTAAACATTATATTGCATCACCATATTTATAGTATTCGATTATGTCATTAAGAAGACCATGTCACCATGTTGGTTGGTAAGCTGTAACTCTGATTGTGCTCTGATAGAGACTGTTGCTGCATCTACAGCCCTGCAGGTGGATAAAAGCCAAGCAAAATAGACCAGAATGACCACAAAAAAGAGGAAAAAAATATGTATACGCTGTGTTTTAGCCTCTTATTGACCAGGATATATTTTGGTTTTTCCATCTTTATTTACATGACCAAATCGTAAGGCAAATTATTCAGTAACTGCATGAAATAAATGTCAATTTTTATTTTATTTATTTATTTATTTGTTTATTTTTGTAAAAGTTCCCCTCAAATTAACAGATAATGTGTTTTATGATCACACATATCGCTTAAATTGCTTACAATTTACTGCTGAAAGTCAAAAATCTTAGATGCTCTTTGTATTATTTTATAAAAATAATTTTTACAGAGCAGATCACTGAAGAGACGCCATCTGTTTATAGTTTATAGCCCAGATTTGTGGAAAAATGGGTCGACTTTCAGTAGAAAAAACATTGTGGGTTCAGCTTCTTTTATTATAAGAGTTTAAAATTACATCACCCATCCATTTGACTGGAAAGAAGACAGTTACAGCTCTCATATGACCCCCACCTTTAGAATGTAGCCTATGAAATATGAAAGTTATGAAGAATATGACGAAGTGCGTTTTGGAACCACCGGTGGTCTCAAGGAGTTGAAGAGGTTAGACACAGTCTACAGAAAATGCTATGAGGAGATGAGCTAGATTGGTGGACTGGATCCGTAGAGCTTGCATATCTCCAGAGTTCAGAACATTCCAGTCCATGATATTTTATTGAAACTAACAAAAGTGGCTACCAAAACTGAAAGCTTTTAAATAATAAACTCACACATATATTAAGCTCAAGTAAGCTTTTTATTTGCCAGCTTGTCATTTGAACCTTCTGTTCCTCCTTAAATGATACTGCAGTTACACGGAGGTTCCCTAAACATAAAACGAATTTTGAAACATCAGCTTAGCTCAATAAATGCATTAATTTACCTCAATAAATGATTCTTAATTAACAAGTACCTCAAATTTTCACTTGGAGATGTTTACTGAGCAGCTAACGAGCAGCACAGCGAAGCTACACTCAGCCATTGGAGCTGATGAATGCATCTCCCTGGCTGATCTAACACCACGTCCCAAACCACACACTTCTGTACTTCACCTACTACACTAATGAGTGCACTTCTAATAGTATATGCGCTATTTTTTACTATTTAGTCTGCTAATATGTGGTTTGGAACCACATAATAATGCAGCAGGAATCTCAGCCAGTCATCTGAATACAAACAATTGCTGGACAATTTGATGTATAAAAATGGTGCATAAAAAACTGGAGGCGAGCGCTTCGACGGAAGTGTGTGTGATCTAGAAAAGGTTGACTTCTAAGAATCCCAGCGCTCAGCGTTTACAGCTGCTTGTGCTTCCTCAGCTAACTCTAATGCTTCCTCAGCTAACTCACACTTGCTGCCACTGTGGACAGAGCTGACAAAACAACGATGGGTCACACTGCCTGCTCTTTTACTGGGCTGATTTTGAGCTGGGTTTCTGGTTGGTGGATCTATGCTATGTTCCTTATTGCATTCTTGCTGGTTTCTGCTAATTCATGCTAGTTCACTTTCCTAAGCCTTTCCGGTGCAGGAATAGGCTCAGTTAAACCTATTTTCAATTATATTATTTTATAGAAATATCTGCTTAGAATGGTATTGGTGCACATCAGTCAATCAGTCAGTTAGTTACTCAGCTGAGCTACAGTTAGCATTCGGGTGTGAGAACGTGTTGTGTGACTCCAATTTAAGGTTGGATTGGTGCCGCAGCCCCTGCTCATGGTAGTTGACCCAGTGATCAGTCACACTTTGGGCATTTTCTCAGAAACGTCATCAATCTAAGGCTGTGTATCCATCACACCAGCACAGTGGAGCGGTCGCCCTGCTCTAAAGCACCTAATTCCCCTCATTTGTGAGTTCAGTGAGGTGAATCCTGCAGAGCTGTGAATGTCCAAGGCAGCAGAGTCTGACACCTGTGCACCGTGTGAGAGTTCACAGTCATCAACAGGTTTCAGTACCTCTTCCATCAATTCAGGATCAGTTTGGAAAATGGATTCATATGTTGTACTGTATTACAGTGTGTAGCCATACGGAAATCAGGTATATGGCAATATATGGATTTCAAATATATGACATAAATAGCATGTTGTTACTGTCCAAAGAAAAATAAGTACCTCTAAAATTGTACATTTTACACATGTAGGTAAAATAAAATAATTCTCCTTTTTAAGAATAAATGCTCTTAAATGCTGGAGTTAATGTATAACTGCTAATTCACCCATTAACCCTGAAGGTTGGCACGCAGAGAGCTGGTCACCATAATAACACAGACAACAGCCTCGCCTAGCTAGTGGCTAATGAAACGGCAAAAAGAAAGATTTAAGACAAACATCGATAATTTAGAGACGAATGGACTTATTTGCATTTAAAAGCCCTCAGGTGGTTTCCTGATACATTTAATCTGTAATGAGAGATTGACAAAGACTTAAAAAGTTGGGAAGCGGCTCCCCGAGTGGCGCAACCGTCTAAGCGTTGGCCCTATCATCAGGAGATCACAAGTTCGATCCCTGGTGATGCTACAGCCATCCGTGGCCGGGAGTCCGAGAGAGCACAATCGGCCTCGCTCTCTCTGGGTGGGTAGGATGGCCCCTCCTTCTCCACCCATCACTTAACGCGATGCTAGTCAGCACAGGCGTCTGTTAGCTGACGTAACAGATCTGGCGGTTGGCGCTTTCCTCTGGAGATGTGAAAAAAATGGCTATAGCTGAGTTAAAGCTTAAATCAGAGCAAAGTAAGTTCTAGTATACTTTTTATCCTATACTAGCACATCAGCACATACTGAGACATGTTTACAACCAAGATGGTAAAATGGACATAAAATGTGGCTCCCAAAGTGGTTTGATTTTTGCTGAAAGGACAAAATGGCTCTTCTTAACATTTGGGTTGTGACGCCTGTGCTAGCTTCATGTTATAGAACAGACATGTGTATGATATATATATATATATTCCATATATTATGCATATATGTGTTCACCCACAAAGCAGACATGTATGTATGGTCCACGTTATGCTTATATGTCCAATATTTCATTCTTATATACATGTACATTACATATATGTACATATATTTTGAAATATATGCCTGACTCTTTATGGTACATGTGCATATATAGCCATATATATGTATGCATGAAAGAATGAACGTTTATATGATTGCATAGAAATGAATTATGAACTAATGTATATGTGAAGATAAACTCTGTTGTGCTCATTTACCAATAGAGTCTGAATCTGAATCTGTTGAACGAGGATTGTGCTAAACTCAAATCTGGAATCAAAGCCTCGGCTCAGCACTAACCACCCCACCCCCAACACACACACACACACACACACACACACACACACACACACACACACACACACACACTCTGCCACCAGGATCCAGAGTGACAGGCTGTGTGTCGGAGAACAGCATGTTGATGAGTTTGTGAGCTCTTGACACACTCAGCCCACACACACACACACACACACACACACACACACACTGTGGAAATTAAATGAGGTCATTAACTCGCCCAGTTTGGCCTCAGTGTCCGTGTCCTTGCTGATCTGTGGCTAACATCTGAAACGTCTCTCAATAACTTAACCCTTGGACTCCTGGGCCAATTTTGAGTGATGTTTGTGTATTTTCGACAGTGACATTTACAATTAAAAGTATTTACATGAGTGAAATATGCCCTAGGCTGTTATTTTTAGGAGACCCTACAGTCTCAAGCAAAAGTCTTGTTGATTTTTTAAGTTAAAATAAGTTAACACATTCTAGGCAGACATCAATTTTAAACATGACTCTAATTTTAGTTCACAATTTCTGATAATTTGCTAAAAATACTAGAATTTTGATGGTGGTTAATTCTATGGCTTGTTACTCTGAAAAAATATGATTAACATACATTAGCCCTTTTTTAATTGATTTTCTCTCCTCTTAGATCCATACTGAGTGCTTAAACTCTGTTAGCCAGCAAGATGGACCTTTTTAAGTACTTACGATATTATATTTATTATTCAGATTTACATGGATTGTTACTGTTAGTGCTTTATATTGCTTGAAATCAAGTGAGATTGAATCTAGAAGGGTCACACTGCTTTACCATCATGTTACTCAAAAATGAGTAAAGATAATGGTTAGAACTGTAAAAAAGTGTTACCTTCTGCTTGATTTTGACTTTAACATCTGCAAATGTTCCATAAGAAAACTTACAAGGTTTGCTTTTCAAAATGTCTGTTGGCCTCATATCATGAAGTAAAACACAATGAAGGGCAGCTGGTGCTTAAATTGCGTAAAACACTAAAATGTGAAAAAAGGATGATTTGCAAATATTTTTTTAGAATTAAAGCTGAATTAAATGCTTGTCTTTCATAAACATGAACCGGAAGCTCATAATGGCTCTTTTGTTCGACAGGAGAACCACTGCCGGCGCATTAAGATCCTGGGAGACTGTTACTACTGCGTGTCAGGACTGACCCAGCCCAAGACCGACCACGCCCACTGCTGTGTGGAGATGGGGCTGGACATGATCGACACCATCACGTGAGTGTGCACTCCTCACTGATCTCACTCAGCACTGTTAATTCCTGCTTAGCAGTGAGCCCTCATCAGTCGAAGACTGGCTTACTGTCATTCAGCTTCCTCTCTCCTAACTGTGGGTGGAACATTCCTTTATTCTAAAATTGGTTTGGTGAAAATATAAAATTTAGACAGTTTTCACCTTATAAACAGTGTTGATCAGGCAAGACAGGTAGTGTCTGTAGTTTGTTTCTTTAGTTTTGTACTGGAGCTAAAAAAATGGAAGCAGCGCCGTTTTTGTATGCACAAAATACTCATGGAGAGCATAAAGGCATGCAACTTTATTTATTAGAGAGCTATGTTATATGTTTCTGAAGATTGCAGGGTAGCCTAATAAGCCAAAGCAATTTGTAATGTTCAGTCTAAGACTGTTCATGTCAAGTGTAACAACAAGCTACATTATTCCTAGTAGAAAAGCAAAGCACTGCTGGTCACCAGCAAAATCAGCATGTTGTGTTTTGGGTGCTGGAATTCTGGTCAACCAGCATGATCATGCTGGGTGACTAGCTAATCCAGCATCAGACCAGCACTAGATGAGCATAAACTAACATAAACCAGCTCAGCCCAGCATTAATCTCAGTCCAAAGAAAACCAAGTATCTCCAAAATAGTAACTTTACAGGAGAAGGCAAAAACACTCTTACCTTTCAGTGTAAATCAATGTAAACAGGTTTTATTCCAATTGATTTTAGAGCATTTCTATTGGTCCATTCATCATGACATTTTCACACAATGTAAAGGACAGCGTGTGTTGAAATGAAGGCCACGATGTGTTCCATGTGGTGCAGAAATTTGTCTGTTTTCCATACAGACGTAGTAGTTGCGGCCCACTTGACAGGAAGCTTTGAAGTGCCAAAAGCCTGAAAACTGAAAAAAGCACGTGCTGACAGTGAGAAAACAAGATGCAGGTAGCTACATGTTGTATCACTCATATAAGTTGGCATTATGGTCTCTCACCTCATTAAATATGCTAACCAGCTTTCTAACCTCGGGTGAATCAGAATTGGCTCTGTAATCCTCATGTGTAACACTTTGTGAGTCACAAAATTACAGATTCTACACTCTAAATAGCTCACTATTTAGGGCCATTTGTACTTCAGCCATAGGGCACTCAGCTATATAGCTATAGCTAAATTATAGTGCATTATTTGTTGGTACAAGTCATACTTTCCTCGTCTAAGTAGTGGCCTTTATAGGGAGTTGTTGGTGGGTTCAAACAGAGCTTATGATCAGGGTGTTAGCTTGAAGAATGGAGCTTCTCCAAGTTAAGACTATCTATCTATCATCTGTGTCCCATACACATTAACGGTGAAGAAAAATGTTGTCTTAGCATCTTTCATCTAGCTAAATATTTACTAGTTCTCCTTTTGAGATACTTAATTAGATTATTCAGCTTATTTCTAGATGTTTTATGTGTTTTAAGCCATTTTGTCTAGTGAAAGTGTCTCATTCCATTGGCAGATAACTTTGCTTGTTTCAAGAAATTTTGCTTGAAAAAAGTATTACGTAGTGTCAAAATATGTCCAATAGACATCCAACACCATTTGACATACTCATCATTAACATCATCATCATCATCTTAAACCACTTAGTCCAGATAGGGTCACAGTAGCAGTTGGGAGAGCAGAATAACAGATGACCCTGTCCCCCGCAACTTCCTCCAGCTCATTCTGGTGGCCGCTCCCAAGCGAACTTGGAGATATAATCCCTCCAATGGGGCCTAGAACGACCCTGGGGTCTCGTCCCAGTAGGCCGTGGCTGGTAAACCCTCAGCGGGAGGTGTCATGACCACAGGTGAGGGTTGGGATGTAGACTGACCGGTAAACAGAGAGCTTTGCCTCATGGCTCAGGTCCCTCTTCACCACTCCAACCCGGTACAGTGACTGCATTACTGCTGCCGCCTGTCCCAGCCTGCGGCCGATCTGACGGTCCCTCTTCCCATCACTCGTGAACAATGAATGAGCTGAGACACTTAAACTCCTCCACCTGGGGCAGGTCCTCTCCTCTTACCTGGAATGGGCATGCCAACCTTTTCCGGGCTAGGACATTGGAAAAGGATGGCATGCCCACATATATAACAGTATATAAACTGTGTATATATACTGTCATATGTAAACATGGCCAAAGGTATGTCACATAGCTAAAACAGCAGTAGTAACCATCTTGAGGTCTGAATTCTGCCTGTTTTTGTCCACTTTTTTGTTTTGTTTTGTTTTGTTGTTTGGCCATCCAGTTTCATAAGCTCCCAGTACTTATTAGCTGCATGAGCCCTGTAGCTCCAGTACAAAACTAAAAGCAAACTTTGGAATAAAACTGTCTGAATTTGATTTTTGTTGTCAGACCACTTCTTTTAAGCTTGGTTTAAGCACTCACTGCTAAAAGCAAACTACAAAACTGAACACATATTGCCTTCAGAGCCCTCTAGAAATGCTGCAAACATTGATTTTAAAAAAGTCAAAGAGTTATTCTGCACATTTTGAGTTGAAGGCATCAATCCAGAGCCCTGAAGGTGCTGAGGAGTGACTTCTGTTCACTAATGTTTCAGTTCCTGCTTCATGATCAGCTCTAGTTGCATCAAACATCACTTTCAGTGCTGCTTGTGTACTTTTATTAGCAGGTTGTCACGTACAGCCCAGTGCAACATTCAGCAGATCTCACATCTTGAGAACCGTCCTCAGATCCCTCAGAGGAACGCAAAGTTTCAGTCCATGTGGTGGAACACATTTCTAGGCATCAATGATAAAAGTGTGTTGAATTGGGCTCATCTGATGATTTAGCGTTTTGTAAGTTTCTCCGTGTAGAGAATCAGGGAGTTCTCCATGAAGAATGAACCCTCAGATGTCGAAGATCATAAAATTATTAAAATAATTCATAAATATTTATTTTGTGCACTTAAGTGAAATCAGTTGTGCTTGTTATTTGCTCAAATTTGACCCTAAAGAAATATTTTCTTGTATTTAAACAGCAGTGGTTTTTGTTTAAGCCATATTAGTGGGTAAAATAAACCTCTTCAGAATGTATTTATTATTTTGAATAATTCAATAACATTATCTTTATCATGTGAACACAGAGTTTACATGAACCTGGAAATCATGCGATGTCCATACAGTGAGCACAGTTTCCAATATTCATCACTGACATCCAGTGAGAGCAACATGGTCCAACCAATGAGTGACTATATCTTATATATCATACATGCAGTCAGTGAATGAATGTATCATACATATATATATATATATACAATAAATGAGTGAATATATTTTATATATCATACATGCAGTCAATGAGTGAAAATATCATATACACCATATATACAGTCAGTAAGTAAATATATCATATATATTATACAGTTATATAAAACGTTTGGTCACCCCGGTCAAATCACATGTATTTGTAGATTTTCTTATATATATATATATATATATATATATATATATATATATATATATATATATATATATATATATATATATATAAATATAGTGTGTGTGTATATATATGATGGAAAGAGAGAGAGAGAGTTAATGAATGCCCCCCTATAGCCTCTCGCTCTCATTCATACAGCTGCTGGAGGCTCTCGGGGGAACTGACTTACTATGGAAATACTATGGACTTCATTAACAGGGTTAAAAAAATAGTGCCATTAATAATTTTGCGCACTGACGTGTTTTACCGGCTTAACTTTGACAACTCTAGTAATCACTATTAACATAATAAATGACATTTTTTTACTTAATAAACTGCATTTAAATTTGATTTAACTGTAAAATGTAAAGCATGACTTTTCTTTGAAAACAAGACTAAAAATTTAAATTGTTAATAAATATCTCCTCTTCTACTCACAAACACAAGTGTGGTGAGGATTAAAAGTTTGGAATCTGCACGTTTCACTGAATGTCCTGTTTCACGAGTTACGAGCGAGATGGCCAAGTGTACGAAGCAGAGCTTCAGGGTGTGAACACTGTGGGAGACCTAACAGCATTAACAACAAAAACAGCCAGTTAGAGCTTTTTACTGTGGTCTGTTCTGTTTGAAATAAAGATGCAGTGAAACACTGTTCTTCATTGACAATCTCCATAAGTTTCATGTATTCGGACCCCATCAGGATGCAGGACGGATGCTGGGGGAGCATGAAGGGTCAAGAAATCTCATTTGAACAGGGGAAGAGCGTTCAGACTGGGCTTTTATAGAGAGCATAAAAACACCATGACCATTTATACCCTCAGAGAAAGAGAGAGACACAGAGAGAGAGAGAGAGAGAGAGAGAGATACAGACAGACAGACAGTAAAAGACAGAGAGAGAGACAGACACAAATAAATAAGACAGACAGAGAGAGATAGACAGAGAGAGACAGACAGAAAAAGACAGAGAGAGATACATAGAGAGACACAGAGAGACAGAGTGAGAGGCAGAGAGATAAAGAGAGAGACTGAGGAAGACAGAGAGAGAGACACACAGAGAGACACAGAAAGAAACAGAGAAAGAGAACAGAGACAGAGAAAAAGAAACAGAGAGAGAGAGAGGAGGTAGAGAAAGACAGAGAGAAAAAAGAGTTGGATGACGGGTGAGAGAGAGAGGGGGGAGAGGGAGAGAGAGAGAGAGAGAGAGAGAGAGGGGAGAGGGAGAGAGAGAGAGAGAGAGAGAAAGACCTAGAGAGCAGGGGAGAGAGAAAGAAAGAAGGAAATGAAGCTAGGAAAGAGGAGGGGAGAAATAGAGCAATGAAAAGAGGAAAGAGGAGAGAGAGGTGGGAGGGAGAAAATGAAGTGAAAGAGAATGAGGGAAGGAAGAGACCGATGAAGGAAGAGAGAGAGAGAGAGAGAGAGAGAGAGAGAGAGAGAGAGCGTATTTAAAGCTCAGAGTAAGAGACTGTTGATCTGAGGAGCGTGAACACAGTCTCTGACACAGAGCGGAGGGAGAGAGTGGATCAGACTGCTAATGAATAAGGCAGAGGAGCAGTGGAGGGG